AAAAAAAAAAAAAAAAAATCTAGAAGATGGAATAGTAAAATCCATGACAGGGAAAAATGCTATAACACCGAAAATTCAAACTTTACCTGATTCAGACAGGCTTGTGCTTCATATCATTTACATTGTACAGCAATCGATCAAGGCGATGGATCGACAAAACACGTTAAACTGAGTACCTTGAAACTGAAGACGAACTCATCTTGGAGAAAAAGAGTAATGTTTAATCGTGTAATGATTAGTCGTGTATATTTAATTTAATGTATATTTTTTAATGTTTAGAAAAGCGTATTCTTTCGCTGAGAAAGTTAAAATAGGAGAGTGATACTTACAAATTAACATAAAAAAGATTCATAATGCAATGCTTCTTTACAAAATAATTTACTCACTTTTATTTTAACTCAAAAAATTTTTTTTTTTTTTGGGTACAAAAAGATGGAGGAATAGACTTAGATAGCTATTCTACGCGGGTAAGCCACCCCGACACGATCATGCCTTGCTTCTTTACAAAATAATTTACTCACTTTTATTTTAACTCAAAATTTAACTCAACTTAACTCAATTCCACTATTTTTAATATTATTCATATAATTAAATAATACAAACCAAGCATTTTCTACACATCACATCAACTTTAATTCACTATCCATTCACTCACATATTTTTAACTACCTATCATTTTCAATCATTTATCTCTTACTTTTACATCAAGTCAATTTTTATCATTTTATTTTAAATATTATTTTAATTCATTCTTAAAATTCCGCATTCTTAAAATTCCACTAACAACTAACCATACTGCTTTTTTAAAATTAATTATGGTTAATCAAAATAACTCATTTTGAATAAATTATTTCATAAACAGTCAAGCCCTAAATTTTCTCGCATGGGTAAAAAGGAATGTTCGAATTCAACGAGTGCATAGGAAAGCAAATTATGCGACAGACCATATGGCGAGCATGACTGCATCTTCTCCGATTGGGTTACAGCGAATTTCTTCCCCTTCTTCGGGATTGGGAGCTTCGCTAGACCATGATATTATAGAGGTGTCGTACCCTCGGCGAGTCCTAACCTAGACCATCAACCTCCTTCATTGCACCGGGAAAAAAAAAAAAGTTCATTTGTGTTCGTGAAAGTTGAGTTTCACTCAATTCATTTTTAATCAATTATAAGTGAATTATTTTGAAATATCCATTCACAAATATATTGCTTGGATAGTTTCAGTTGGAACTTAAAAAAACAAAAAACAAAAAAAAAACAAAAAAAATGAATCATCACAAATAAGTTTTTTTATAAATGAATCTACATCCACGAGTAGCTTGATCGATTGGCCTGATTTTTGAACATTTACCGTATGTTTGTATATAAACAAATTCACTTGCTACTCAATTAATACTTAAAATTTAACACAATTTTAAATCAACTACACTATCATTAATATCCTCCTTATATATTATTCTTGAATTCACTAAGCCACGTGGCTGCTTGTGGTGCTTTGGAATCCTACTTGGCAAAGAATCATGTTTCCTAATTAGGTTTGGACAAATAATGTTGATATATTAATAATTAATAATTTAGGTTTGGACATTCCATAAATATTATTTAGCTATCTTAGGTATTTTAATATGACTTGTACTAATATAACCCTTTAATTATTTGTAATTTTACACAGTGAGACACTAAGTAACTAATATATCCCTGACTTTTGATTTGTTTTCTTCAATTAACTATTGAATTATAAATTTATTTTAAAATTTGATAACTTTTGTATTTCTTATCAATTTTACATATATAATATTTCAAATTAATCATCTTTTGATGATCTTCGATTTGACATCTATATTGTATATATGAAGTAAATAAATTATATTTATCTTTATAATAATAAAAAATAGTAATATTTATTAAAATTCATTAGAAAATTAAAATTATTTCTAAATTGATATATTTATGTCTAATGCAGTTATATGTTGTAAGTTAAAAAAAATTATTATAATATAACACAGGTAAGTTGCACAGACAAAAATATTCATACTAAATATATATTAATATATATATTTTTATAAAAGATACTTAAATTTTAAAATATTTTTTCTCATTAATTTTAGATTTTAAGAAAAAAAAATTAACAGGCACCCGTGTAATACAGGGGCGTTGTACTAGTTATCAGTATAATTAAATAATATCAATAAATCATTCTTCAACATTTATTATTCATCCACTCATATTAATTTAACTACTTATAACTTCACATTCTCTCTCTATCTCTCTCTCTCATACATTTATATCAAATCAACTTTAATTTTTTTATTTTAAATATATATATATATATATATATTTTTTTTTTTTTTTTGGTGCAATGAAAGAGTACAAAACGCTTAAGCTAGTACGTGTCTAGGGTACGAAATCCCCTTACTGTCGTGATTCATCCACTCCTCTAGGCCTGGGGGAGGCACTGTAACACGCTAAAGACCAAACGGGTTGGTCGCCGCCAGACGATCCAAGTGATCCGCCGCAAAATTTACTTCCTTGTGCACGTGTCGAATCTGGAGTGTCCAATCTCGTCTGATTAAGGCTTGAATAGCCCTGATCATTGGGTCATTCACCCCAAACATTCCGTCGGTCTTCAAGATCATCTTTGTCACGCTCTGGCTATCCACTTCGACTAAGACCCGTCTATAACCCATGTCCCATGCCAACTCCACTCCTTGCAAGATGCTCCACAATTCAGCCTCCATCACAGTGCAGGTCCCAATGTTAAATAGAAAGCCCCCGAGCCATCGACCCAATTCATCACGAATGAGCCCGCCCGCACTACTCATGCTCGTGTGTCGATCAAAGGCACATTCGGTGTTAAG